CACTGAAACTCAATCATTACTCAATACCTATTTGAATGAGATGCCATTACAACCCACTGGACTGTTAAGCATCCAAATACAATGGACAATGTAGCTGAGAGCTGGAAAAGTACATTCAAACCCTGCAAATAGGCAAGCTAACAGAACTGCTGCAGTTACTAAGCTCTTTAGTAACCTCTAACAAAATGGGGTGTCCATCAAAACTGAAAATGTATACACTTTTTAATCCAGTTGGATGAAACATAGAAAGGAATATTACCCACAGTTGTGATTTCTTCAAGGGTATTTGTTATAGAATCGTGTATAGTATCAACCTGAATCAAGCACTCAGAACTAGAGAACTTGTGAAATAAACTGTGGGCCATCCATACAAAAACATGAAAAAGAATGAGATCAGGCTAAAGAGATAACTCAGTGGTCTAAGAGCCTGCGTGGTAAGCACAAGGACTCAGGTTCAATTCCCAGTACCGCACACTGTGCCAGCCCCAGAACCCTGGGTGCGCTGTGTCAGCCTAACACCAGGCATGGTGGTGCACGCCTGTAATCCCAGAGATGGGGAGGCTGACAAAGGAGGATCACTATGAGTCCAAACTGCATAGCGAGACCCAATGCCAAGCAAAGAGAAAGAGAAGAAGGGAGGGAGGAAGGGAGGAGGGGGAGAGAGAGAGAGAGAGACAGACAGACAGACAGACAGACAGACAGACAGACAGACAGACAGAGAGACAGAGACAGAGAGACAGAGACAGAGACAGAGACAGACAGAGGGAATCAATACAAATTATTATATACAATATCTTAAGATGCTTGTATAATCTTAAGGTATTTAAAGTAAAATATAAGCCAGGTGAATAGCATGCAGTGTTACCCAGTTTCTGAAATAACAAACTAAAAGAAAACAATACACTTGTAAAATTACATTCATTCCAAAAGAAAACAAGATCAACTGAATAGCTTTCAGTAAGCCAAGAGATTTGGAAGTCAGGGGTTCTGCTTACACTTTGAGGTACTTTCACTTTTAACCATTTCCATACATTATCTTTCAATTTAAAATGCTTAGTGACAAAATGTTAATGCCTCTTAAAAAAGGGTGTATGAATGGAAGAGTGGATGGCTTCCCTCCCAGTTTTGTATTCTCTCCACCACATAAGCAGTATCTCAGCTACATTATACCTCAAAATCCTTGAAATGAATATATTCACATTGCATTTTAAGTACTGATGCTAATGAGCTTTTTTTTTTCCCAGCTACGAAAGCAATGACTGCTGCTGCAAGCTCTGTAGCTGTTACATGTGCGGGCTTTGGTAACATATTCCCTTCTTCTCAGATCTGTCACAAGTGTTCAGATGACAGTAGCCTATGGAGAGAGACCTTAAATAACAAAGCTACATCTGTAAGATGCACTTCCTCTCAGTGAAACAAGTGAGGTTACTTGTTTGCTTTAGGCACTGGGCCAAGTCCCACCCACATATATTTGATTGATTTCATAGCTTCATGGCTCCCAACATATCCCCTTTTTTCGTTCTGTTTTTTTCAGAGATGGGTACTCCACTGCAGCTACAGAAGCTGTATTTGGAGAAGTCTTTGAAGGACCTTTTCATATCTGAAACCAGTCTAAAGATTGTAGGTACTTGAATTCAGCAAAAAAACCCAATATAGTCCAATAGTCCATAATAGTAGAGGGTTATCAGCAGAACTGGCAATTGTCAGAAGCTGTTGACTTGAGCCTTTTACAGTTCAGTATACTAATATGGCATTGCTTTCTATACCTCATGGTTATACTTTTCTGCTGGATGGTTAAGAACAAGATAAAGCAAGACCTATATAACTAAAAGTGTAACTTTTTGTATCTAAAAAGGTCAGTCAAATCCCCTCAGGATCTACTCTGGAACCATGTACAGTACTGATCCTTTATCAGTGTCAGCCATCTGGATGAGTCACGGCCACTGCTTAACCAATTTGCTCTCTGTGAAGGCTTAAGAGAAATTTTTCTCTCTAGGTGACTCTCCTTAGGCACACTATGCATCGTCGATCACTGTCCTCTGTAACCCCATCATCTCCTTGATCAGAAAATTTGGGACAACGCTGAGTTATAGGATGTCACAGCACAGTTTCTCTTTTGTCCTGAGTCTGCACTGACCTTGAAACACTAGGGCCAAGATATTGGCTACCCTTGTAGTTTGTCTGGTTAAGGTTTGCTATCAGTTGCTAGGCAACCTAGTGTCATGCATTACTAACTTCACAAAAGTGTAAATAAAGGACAGTTTTGTTGTGAAAAACAAGGGAAAAATATATATGTATACACAAGAGAGGATATACAGCTACTTTCTCTTAGCTCACTGAGAATCAAAGTTTCTACTAATATTGTCTAGACTGGCTATCAGGTCTGCATCGTGTCCTCTGAGTAACTACGAAGAAAACAATATGCAATGTATTAATTATTGTAAACATCCTATTAATCTGCTTTAAAGCTGTTTCATCGCTATTTTATCTTTTTTCTCATTAAAATGAATAAAATTTATATGAAAGAAAAGATGTACTTCCTACAGTCTTTCTACCTCTGCCTGTAAGAATTCATCAGGCTAATGAAATTTCTTTTCTAAACAAGCAAAAGTTCCAATTACCTCTTCGCACTATTTGAAGATCTCCTAAGTCTTCCTAAGGCACTCAGGCACCATGTAGGGCTGGGATGACACCGAGGCTCTTATTTAAGCACTCCTAATTATCTGTCCAGTAAACACTACTTGAAAAGGCCACTCTGACATGTATTCAATACATTAAGTTTATTTATGTATTTTAATGTCTTAAAATACATTTGACCAGACCCTCAATAGGTGGTTCCTCTGTCCTCCAGGCAACCAGAATTAGCCCACCTTAGTCATCCAAGTCTTCTCCTCCCTCTGTGAGAAGAGACACTGCCTTGGTCAGCTCAGAAGAGGAGGGTGTGGAATAGTGCAGCCACAGGTAGAGACACCTATGATTGGTTCCCTTCAAACTAGACATTATGAATATGTACAAACTGAAGATGAAGACATCCCAGTGAGACAGAAGGTGACAGACATGCTCTGGTTGGGACAGAATAAGGGCTAATGACGGCACCTTGTGCCAGTGCTACATGAGAAGACAGGAAAGGTTAAATTATTGTACTTAGCGGTGTTTCCACTAAAAAGGTATGATGGTAGTGAAGGCTGAGATTACAATGCTCTGGCACTGTTCATGGAGTCAGGTTTTATTCAAGACCCTATTTTATAGGATGAATATACCAAAAGGCCATTTTCTCACTTAGGAATCCCATTTTAAAATATTTTTATTGTTATTATTTATTATTATCATCATCATCATCATCATCATCATCATCATCATCATCATCATTATCATTGCTGTGCTAGGGACTGAAATGAGGCCTTAGTGCATGCCGGGCAAATACTGTCCAATGAACTGTAACCCTTACCCAGACAGCAGCACACGCTGTAATCTCAAGACTAGAAGGCTAGGACAGGAGGATTTCAAGTACTCACACAGCTTAGGTAACTCAGGGCCTTAGTGAGACCCTGGCTCTAAAACAAACAAAAACCAAAACCCATGTGTACTGTCAGTCAGCAGGCAATGTGTAACAATCTGTCGTTATTATCTTTTGAATTAAGCAGCAGGAACGAACATACTTCTACCATTACTATAAGAGCAAGAGTCCTGTTTCACCTAAGAACACCAGAATATATTGTTCCTTCATTTTCTTATGCCCATCCAAAAGTTACATCTCACATTTCACGCTTGTGTTTAACTGAACAAAATGAAATCCTCCTTCACTTTATTTTAACCTTGTATTTTATTTCATTTGACCATAAAGAATATACGTCTTTTCAGAGTAAAAACAGGACTACTTCTAGTCCCTTCTGACCTAGCTAAATTAAAGAATATTACTGACATCATAAAAGAAAATCTTATTTTGTGAGAACTTAAACCAGATAACCTCTCTGGCTTCCAATTCTGATTCTCTAAATTTTAGTTATTCATAATACTCTTTATATAGGTCTCTTGGATAAAAGAAAAGCTAACTTCTCTGAAAATAATTAGTCCCAAATGGCTTTTTATATTTTGTCATATCTGTATGTCATAAAAATGTGTACCTTTTCTTTTGAAGCCATTCTTACTTTTCTGCATTTTTCTCTAAAGAAAATAAGAGTAAAGCACTTTGTACATTTATCCTACTCATTATAAAATTCAGAAATTATCTTGATGAATACAGATCATTTCATTAGATCTAAGATTAATCAAGCAAAGCAACAGATGTTATAAATAACATCTTCATAACAATATAGATTATTACAGAAAATCACTAAAATTCCTAACTGATATAAATTATAAATAACATGAGAAGCCAACTCTAAATTGTCAAATTTGCAGACCTATGTGTGAAACATAAAAGCTGAAAATACATAAAATGACAAAATACTGACATTAAAGCATCTGTTTTTAAACTGGCCTTTCATCACGCTGTCTGTGTGCAATCGTAAGTGGAGGTCTATTGGCAATAAGAACACTTCCTAGGAACTGAACTTCTAGTTTGTAAAACCACTATTTCTAAAAATACCCAAGAATGCTATGCACCCTCCCTATCCGACAGCAAGGTTGTAAATATCTACGAAACAGTAACATAGAAAAATATAGTACAAATGTGAAAATGATTAAATCATCATCTTAGAGGCATTTACCCCTAACTCAACTAGAGAATTTTTATTATATTTCAATTGAATATAAAATTTTAGGGGAAAAAAACCAGATGTACAAGTTAAATAAGTATAAAAGTAAAACTTGCATCAATATTTACTCTTACTAGTTGGAACACTGGAGATGAAATGACATGGTATTCTTAAATCCCTCACTTGTGGGGATAGTAACAAAGTTACCACTCAATGAAAACATCAAGTAAAAATCACTTAGTAGCAAAAACAGTCATTAAATTGCAACAATTTTTTTTCTTATAAAATGGTAGAGTTACTTACCAACAAGTCTTATTACATTCAACGTTGTATTTGTTAAGATAGGTGCATTCACTTTATTTAGACTATAATCTGATTTCTTCCTGCTTTTTAGGGTTTCTCGAGAAACACTTAATGGAGAAATAAAACAAAACAGGATTAGGATTGTCAACTAACAAAACAATAGTTATTCAGCTTAGCATTTAACTTTTCTTTAATGATTATTTACTGGAAATCTTATTATGGATAAGGGGAACTCATAGTCTAGAGAGGAACAGAGAAATAAAGAAATAAAGTTCTGTAAATGTGGTTCTTTGTAAGACATTATCAACCATTAAAAAAGTTGTTATCATTTTAAAAGAAAAGGGATATTAGGAAAATTATACATCCAGATGCAAAAGCACCAAGATTCTTGATGTCAGAAACTTGAAAAAATTTGAGCTGTGTATGTGGTTCAGCAGTAGAGTGCTTGCCTAGCAAACTGGAAGCCCTGGGCTTGGTCCTCAGCCCCAAAAACAAACAAAAAAGAAAACAAAAGAAAATTTTCACTTGCTAGAATGTGAATGAAATATAAGGTATCTGGCAGGGTCTACGGCTGAGGCTAGCACTAGACTCAGAGGAAAAGTAGAAATTGTATGATAAGCACAGAAAAGAAGGACAGCCTGTCACATGATCAGAGGAGAGCGAAGACAGAGTACTCTAAGAGGGATACAAGGGTTTCACTATTCCGGCATGTAGAAGAGGTGGGTGGAGGAGGAGGAAATAGGAAAAGAAGTAAGCAAAGCCCACTAAATGCATTCAAACCCTACGAAGAAGGATGAACTATATATCTGGAATGCAGTCGTGCGCCAAAGCTTTAACTAGGAAAATTGTAAGACCAAATTTTAAATTTGTGTCTAAGGAGACAAGACTGGAGATAACAAGTGAACCTGAGAAGGATGATTTGTTTATCTGGCATAGAGATAATGGTTACTATATCTGAATTGAGAATAACAAATACATAGAAGACACATTTCAAAGTTTGGGATAACAGTAACTATTAACCCACTGACTTCAATTAGTAATTCACAGTATTCAGATTTCTTAGGGGAAGCTTACAGCATCAGGACGGAAGCATGAGCCCACCATATAT